CAGAGGCCGTTGAGCCACCGCGAGTGAAACCGCACACACACAAGCACGAATCAGGAGGCCAAGGGGGTATGGATCGGAATGCCTCTGTTAGGATAAGGGATCTAGATAACAAAGCGATAAGAATAGCCGACATCTGAATGGACAGGGTGGCACGGGGTGTGGGAACAGCGATACGCCTTTGTAATAGGTAAAATTATGGACCCCAATAACAACGGGACAGGAGCATTCCGAAATCTGAATGGACAAGGCAGCACATGGTGCAGAAGCATCCGAATGCCTTTTGTTGTAGGTAAGGTCACGGATCCAAATGTGAAAGAGACGAGAATAACTTGGCCTCTGAATGGACAGGGCAGGCGCGGGTGCGGAAGCATCTGAATGCCTTTTGGGTGGATAAAATACAGAGGCTTAGCGTAGCAAAGGGGTTCTTCTTGGAGACATCGAGAGCAGCGGAATGTGGGAGTCAGCCGTGGAGCCGTCCTTGTGACGAACTTCAACGCAGCTAGGCTCAACCCACTACGGAGACAACCCACAGCATCGCCCCTCTACAGCTTTCAGCGCAGCAGAGTGGAACTAAGCGTAAGTAAGAGAGAGGTGAATGTGAACGATTTAATCGAGGATAGACAGCGGAGCGACAGGCAGAGTAGATTCAGCATAGGATCCCAGGGGGAGTAGGCTGGCATCCACTGACGCACACACGTACGTGTAGTTTAAACGGGTTACTCGCAGTAAATAAAATGACTCATAGGGGGATAAACTGTGTCGTGTGGTCTTTGGGAGCGTGAGGAGAAGGGTAGAGCGTGCTTGGTGTTTACGTACCCGTACGATTGTTTACTGTGGTGTTCAGCGCGCGCGTACCTACGCGACTACTTCCGGGGGGTATCCAGCGCTCGCGTACCTGCGCAATTGCCTACAGTAGCGCTTAACGCTCGCGCGCCTGTGTGACTGTGTTGCGGTCGCGCACCGGCGCGATTGTCTAATAGCGAGGTAGCGCATTAAGCGCCTGGCGTGCGCGTATTCGCGCGGCTGTTTAAACGGCCCTTTAAATCAGAGCAAAGTGATCACGGCGTGTTTGTTTTTGCTTGAGCGCGTGGAGCGTGGGTGGGAGGGAATCATGCGGCGGCGCGCCGCACCTGTTTATTCACGTGCAGGACGGGGTTTTACTTTGCGAGCGCGCTCACCGCGGCACGCCGCCACTGAAGAGTGCAGCGCGTCGCAAGTGTAGGGCCAGCGACCTAACCGATTGGACCATGCTGACGCGGTCAACAACACAGTCAGGGGCACTGGGGGGTGAGGGGGTGGAGGTCGCTAGCCCGAACCCCACAGAGCAGCCGGGGGGTAGGGGGACAACTGTAGCGGGGGAGTCGGGAGCCAACGGCCCCGACAATTCAATGATGGTTGGGGACGTTCGCCCCCACACAGCAACAGAAAGCATTTAAGGTTTTACCTCGTTAACAATAACATGCATACGTACATCCTGCCAGTGTGCAATAAGAGGCCAAACACCCACGGGGCTCTAGAGCTCCCTCCAGTGGATGCCCTTCTACCCACAGTGACGCGAGTGAGAAATTGCAGGGCTGCACCTTTACCATTTACATTTTTTATATCTTGACCTCAAATCCAACCCTGACCTACTAGTCTTACAATCAGAGAAGTAACTTTTTCTCACCATGCCGTGAAAATGAACGCCAAAAAACCGTAGCTCTGGGGTGTAGCGTACAATGCGGTTAATGTGGGTGAACTCGTCTGTGAAGAGTGTTTGCTACGGATTTCCAGCAGAGCGGCGGCTAATGTTTAAGTGAAATCAGGCGCGCAGGGCGTGGGCAACGGTTCGGGGTGAGTCCCTAGCATTAGCAAGGTTCTGAAGGGTGGCAGTGGTGGCTTCTTATGAAGACCGCGCGTGAAATATTCACGGTGTCCCCTGGGTGTGTGCAAAGACAAAGATCCCCCCCCATATAGCCTGTAACAGGCTGTTAGGGTAAGTGCCGTTCACGAGTAGCACCTATGTAAGGCCGGAACGGAGCACTAGGGGGGATGGGTGGCTAGCACCACGCCCCACCGACTTTTTATCCCCAGTGCTGATTGTTACACACTGCATCAGGTACATTTAAGGCTGAGACGACCTAGGGATGCCTAGGGACCGGTTCAGATAATTGTCACCGGCGTTTGCCGTGAGCAGGACTCGAACTGGGGTTTGTATGTATGTGCGTTGAACTTCTTACGCACCGTACATAGCCAATCTCGCTAATCGGAGGTTTGGGGGAAGGACGACAAACGGAACACGCAAAGAGCAGTTATAAAGAAATTCAGTTTTCAATCTACTGTAGAAGTACAAAATGCATATGCTCCACTCACTTAAACGGCTTCCTCATATTGGTGTTCTGCTGGGTTCATAGCGCAGCATGATCAGCCACTGCGCTAGCGCTCCCCGCTGCATACACACTCACACACTCGCGACAACCACCCGCGAATTAAAGGCAATGGGCAGCAAATGGGGTTGAAGCCCACGGGTAGATGAATGAAAAATGGAACGCTGTCGTCGGATGCTGTGCTCGGCTCCTCTGTGCGTAACGTGGTCTGATGGTCTCAGCACGGTGTGTTGGTGGCGATCTCGAACGGGGTCACCATGCAAGGCTGTGATCTGGCCCATGGCTCCACGTGAGACACTCGGCAAAATTAAAATGCTTAGGTCGAGTTGGGACACGCCGAGCGGTGCCGCGTTCATATCGGCAGACAACATCCTTCCCTCCGTCTGCCGCCCATCTGTTCCTCCGTGTGTACAAGAACGAGGTACTTTTTACACATCCCGTCAGCAACAGGGCCGTTTTGGGGGAAGCTGCGTAATTGTCACCGACTTTGGTTCGAAACGATGCAAGCAAACTTCGGACAGGTTTTTTTGTGACACGCAAGTGTCCAGGCTTGCTTGAACGAATGCCGGTGAGCAGCCACCCGCCTCTTAAAATCGGAATCGGAATATTTATTATACTGCAGGAGGAATCTGATGAGCTATGAAGCTCTTTTACACAGATGTCCAGTAAGCTGGCACAGGGTAAGAACGTTACAACAACAAATGGTACAAAAACACAATAGAAGTGCAAAGTACAAGAAATGTAAACAAACCACAAATATACAAATAAAAATAAAAAAACCTCCCCATCTTACCAGACAAAGGCCACTTATTCAAAAGCCACCTGGCCAGAAATGATAGCCGAACAAAGTGGCTTATAATTTGAATATTTGTAGCAGCAAGTATATAAAGTGTAAACGTTTATAAACACGCTTTTCAAAATGGGTCCACGTTCAACGCAAAAAAACACGTGTGTAGTTACATAGCACATCCTTCTTTACGGCCTAGTCTCAAATAGTGTTAGACCAGAGAATGCCAAAAGGCGAAAAGCACAAAGACAATGCCACTATCAGGGCATTTATAGCTCGGGGTGAGCAGCTATGTCTCGGCCTCACTGCGCTGTGTTGCACCACTATCCGAATAGCCAAACTCGCATTCAATAAACTTTCAGAGTCGGGGTGAACATCCGACTCCGACGTATTTAATGAATTGAACGAGGTAAAACTGATGGAAAAACACAGCAAAAAATACAGCATCTGTTAATACTTGGAATATCAATACAATGAATGAACACTGCAGCATCATAACATTGTCTTAGATAACATGAAACTTAGCAATAGATCCTGGATGGACCAGGCACCTACATGAGCACTGAATAGCTATACAAGAGAATAAGCTACTGTGTTAAATAAGGTCACTTCGTGTAATCACCATACTGCAGCATAAATGTACAGCGCTGCACATAACACTGAACTGTGGATGAGATACTTCTTCATCCTTGCTCTCAAGATCGCATTAAAGTTACATGGGTACAAATCTGACTCGATTTATTCAATTACTAGTAACATTCACAATTATGCGAGTGGCAGGCTTCGTCGTTAACTAGGCCTCATATTTATCATAACAATTTAACAGCATTATAAAGGCATTTACAGCATTATACCGACAATCCTAATATAACAGCATTCCCAGTATTATAAGAACATAAACGACCTTACAGACAATGCTTCTCAAAGTCCCACAATGGACAGATGCACCTGTCTTCACTGAGATGCTATTTGTGCCTCCATTTTGTACTCTGTGCAATGGCTGATACCCTGCCTCATGGCTTAGAGAATCTTAAATCGTCACTTCCTGGTCACGTGATCAAACTCAACATCATATCAGGAAATTAATGTGTATGCACACCCCCACACCTGCCGTGAGGCAGAACAAGCTACATCATGTTCGCCTTTTGGTGTTCTCTGGTCTAACACTGTTTGAGACTAGGCCCTAAAGAAGGATGTCTCTGGTGTAGACCAATCGGTTTCAAAGACAATGCACGTATTGTCAGAGCATGTTTGTTGTTTGCATGATCACCACAAGTACGTGTGTGGTTAATGCGGATACGATTCCTTGCAAAAAGGTTTCAGTTTGGTGTTTGAACATCTTAACACCTGCTGTGTTATTGCCATGAAGGGTAAAACCCTATCCTTATATTTGAATACTGGAAAAAAATGGTCCCATGTTAATTGTAAACTGTCGTGCAGTGCAGACCTGCCTTGGTAAACTATTCAGTAATTTACATTCACACGTGTGGGTCCCAACACGAGACGCTCCCTTGGTTCCTCCTCCTCCTCTCATTGATTCTGGGGGTCGCAGAACCCAGTGGCAATGTTTACGAGCCTCCCACATGAAGGCCGACACCACCGACACCACTGGCATCCATAATGCGCATGTCACACAGGGTGCACGCACAACACGTACACGCGCATCATGCGTAAACAACTTACGCTTGCATACATACAATATCTGAAAGTATATTATATACGTTATACACAGAATATATGCTTTACACGTATGCATAATGGGGCATGTGTGTACATATGGATGTATGGTAAACTTATTTTGCGCTGTATGTAGCCAATCGAAGGTGCGGGGGAAGGACAACCAGCTAAACACAAAAAAGCTAAAGAAGTGATTTGTTCAATCTAGATTTGAAAATGCATAGCTCCAGTGGCTTCTGAATATCAGTTGGCTGGTTTCATAGTGCAGTACAACAGCCACTACGCATTATCATCCGCTCACGATAATAAACATAAAATATCGACTGTACATTATTTACTTTCAATCTCACCCCCCACCCCCCTCCATGTTATATGCCGATTGTGACATCGGCGTCGCGTCACGAGACGACGAATCAAGGTCGACCTCCCACAGGGCAGCCGCAGCCCTTTCCTGTGCTGTGAGAACCGCCCACAGAAGGCGCCGCGGTGGCTAAGAGATGTCAACTACCTCGCCTGGTATGAGAGATCGTGGGCTCGATCCTGACCCTGACGACGCCTGCTGTATATTTGGAGTTTGTATCTCTCTCTCATCGTCACGGTGGCTAGGATATATCAACTACCTTGCCTGGTATATAAAAGTTTGTGGGCAAGATCCTGACCATGACGAGGCCTGCTGTATGTTTGGAGTCTGCATGTCTCTCTCTCTCTCATCACGGTGGCTAGGAGCTGTTAACTACCGCGCCTGGTATATAAGAGATAAGAGATCCTGGGCTCGATCCCGACCCTGACGACGCCTGTTGTATATTTGGAGTCTGCGTGTCTCTCTCATCATCATCACGGTGACTAGGAGATGTTAACTACCGCGCCTGGTATGCAGGAGTACGTGGGTTCGATTCCGGACCCCGGTGATGCCTATTGTACATTTGAAGTTTGCGTCTCTCTGTCTCTCTATGGAGATGTTAACTACCTCGCCTGGTATACAGGCGGTCATGGGTTAAATCCCGACCCTGATGCCCGTATATTTTGGGTTTGCGTGTCTCTCTCTCCCCGTGGTCGCGTGGATTTTTCTCCGGATCCTCTGTTTTTTTCATTTCACGTTTAGAATCAACGTCATGCGTTTGGAGTATTTGGCTACTATACAATTTCAACGTAATGATTGGCCACTTCGAAGAGCTATCATTTTTGATTATCCAGGTCGCTTCTGAAAAAGAGTTATATAACTGAGTGGGCCTTACCTGGTAAAATTAAATAAAAAAACTGTTAAGTTTGGAGTTTAGAGTTTAGAAGTGGATTTCACACAGAGCTACATCTGAGATCAGTTCAAGTGGTCCCTGGTCACCACACAGTGAGGGGAAGCACCTTCCCGCTCGCTCTGCATTATGAAGATAATGTTCGTCGCAGGACGGCCAACAGCAGGAATTTAGCCGAAATTAAGTGCAGAACACGATGTAATGCGATGGGGCGTTTCTGTACAGCCATTGGTGACCAGACTGAGACCATCACTGAGTCTTTCCCTCCACGATTAGAAACATGCACTTAGATTATTTAGATACATTTCGCTGCTATAAATGTCCACGTGATTAGTCACTACATTGGGCTGTCATTTGTAGCAGGTCGCTTCTGATAAAGACGATCAAATAAACGTCCTTTGTTTTAATTGTATTTTTAAAAAGTGATTTGTCCTTGTACTTTGCACTCCTGTCGTGTTTTTGTATTGTGTTTGTTGTCGTAACGTTCTGACCCTTGCCCCTACTGGGCATCTGTGAGAAAAGAGCTTCATAGCTCATCGGATTCCTCCAGTAATTACTAAACATTCTGATTCTCATTCTGATCAAGTCACTACACTTGAGAACAGTCTGGATTGAAACCCAGGCCCTCAGCGGTGCCAGCTCAGCGAGTCTTACCTCTGAGCCACACATAATCAAATATATTCGCCACACTAAGGTGTGGCAGGTTGATGTTGACAGATGCTTTGTCAATGCATGCATCCTTTAGGTTGAACCAGGTCAGGACCCATCCAGACGAAAGCATCTCTCCCTCAATGGGGACCTGGGATCACAAAGGCAAGTACGGTAATACGATATCAACAAAGATTCGGCATCACGAACTTTGGATTTATCGGCATTATTTTACACGGTAAGCTAAAAAAATATAAAGTAAAGTAATAAATAAATGCACTGTAATGAGAGAATAAATAATGCATGTGTTGATCTACGGTGAAATTTAAATAAGAATTATGTTATAATAAATATGGATTCTTGAGTTTTGCATATTGCGATGGTCATACAATGTTTATGTTTGGCTCGGTCAATCAGCGCGTTCCCCACAATTCACTCCACATCCTGTCACCAAAGCCATGTATGGAACTGGTGTTCGGTGGGCAATGAAACCTAGGCCGCCGTGGCGAGATGTTAACTACCTCGCTTGGTACGCAGTAGGTCGTGGGTTCGATCCCTGACGTCCGTATATTTGGAGTCTGCATATCTATCTCCCCGTGGTGGCGTGGATTTTTCTCCGGGTCCTGCGGTTTTTACCTTCACGTTGAGAATCATTGTGCGTTCAAAGTATTTGGCTGCTATACATTTCCACACGATGAGCCACTTCGTTGAGCTATCATTTGTGGCCAGGTTGCGTCTGACAAAAAGCATATATAGCTCAGTGGGCCTTATCTGGTAAAATAAAATAAAAATCTTAGTTTATGACTGCACCAAAGGCTACTGGTGAGTGCGAACATATTTTACAGTACACTATGTTTCTTCATTTAGTACATTTTTTACTATTTAATACTGTAGAGTATAAAATATATGCAATATAAATTGTCTTTAAGTACAATTCGAATGGAAAGTTACGAAGTGGTTGTAGTATGAAAATAATGTTATGGCGGGACCCCGGGGTCCCGAATAAACGGAAGACAAAATATTAATTAATTATTTTTGGCGACTCTATCCCACCGTGCACATAAATGCCATGACCCACTGGCGCGGATCATTCTGTTGTCATGTCGTCCAAGCGCAGTGAGGACTATTGCACAGAAGAAACAAAACTTTGTAACTTCATTAATTAGCGCATCGTGTAGAGGTCATGTGATCAAGGGCGTAGGGGGGTCGGCTAACCATGACCTCCCAAAGGCATTTTGAAAGCCCCAATCGGACCCTCGGTAAACCGTGCAACTCAAATAGGACAAATAACTTACACCGTTCATTCAACTTTAACTTCGCGATCGCTACCTTCCATCCCCATCAGATTTAAAAGCGGACACAGGTGGACACGTTATCATAACCTCCGTATCATTAGTGTTTTTTTTTTTCCCCACTTGGGTCGCGACCTCTCGATGCCCGCTCCCCTGCAGTTCTCCTCCGCCCCGTGCACACGCGCCCCACCTGTCGCACAAACCTTCCCGACGACGACGTCCCACAATGCACTCCTGCCCCGCTCTGTCTCAAAATTCTCAAAAGGTCGCCGCGTCCCGATGAGAAACGTCCAGCGATCATTCGGATACGCCCCACGCTCAGAAACACAAAAGGCACGATCCTCGAGCTGGTTCAACTTAAGAGGTCTCCACTGTCGTGCGGCATGGCCAATCTCGATGGCCCTTAGGGTTCCACAGATAAACTAAATGTGATCAATGAATCATCATATAGATTACACTGTGAATCATTTCGTCTATTGTTATTAAGCGATGTTTAAATGTTAATATAATTAACCCCTTTCCCCTATTTAGAAACGTACTGTGGGGTGGGTGGGTGTTCCAATTCAACGCTGAATCTCACAAACGCACGAGCGGATCAGCCCTCATTTGATTTACAGAGTGCGTAGTAGCAGCGCCGTTGTTTTTAAAGACGTCGCACTCACCGCAGAGAACCGTAGCAACACGACTGCCGCCACTCTACGATAGCTGGCGCCACTCTATGATAGCTGGCGCCACTCTATGATAGCTGGCGCCAAACTGTGCCACACGGCCTCCGGTATGGCTTTGTGGGGACATAGGTACCGTTCAAGTTATTTTTAAATTTTCTTCCGATTGACGTACACGTACATAATTAGAATGGGTTAAAATGTATGACGTTCTAAATTGTGCATTTATTTGCAAATTTTGCAGATAGCTGCCATAATTGGAGAGGCACGCCTCATCCAATTAGTCCGGGTTCTACACAGGTCGCTGTACCTTTTTCCCCAAGTGGGCTGTGCGCTGAGGATTTTCTCTCTCTCTCTCTCACAGACGCTTTCGCCACGTAACCACTGCTCTCTCCGCTGAACCCAGAAAGCCCCGACGCTTAAGACGACGAGTGGCGGGTCTTAAGATTCGCGGCGTGTCGCCTTTTTTGTTGTTGCTGCTGCCGCTCGCTGCACCTGCGGAGATTTTTTTTCCAAGGTCGTCCCAGCGCGGTGTCATCTCTCGCTCTGGCTCGCCGCGACAAAATCAATCTAAAAAAATTTGAAAAATAAAATTACTACGCCGGCGTGGGGAAGCAAAGGCCAGGGGTGGGGGGGGGGGGGACTCTGTGCTGCGCTCCACTAATCCCTGAATGAAACATTCCGCAAATATCAGGCGGGGCATCGAACGCGCCAACCGAGAACGAGCTGTAGTCGATCACGGTCGCCGCAGTGGCTCGGAGATGTTAACTACCTTGCCTGGTATGCAGGAGGTCGTGGTTTCGATCCCGAACCTGACACCTGTGCATTTTGAGTTTGCGTGTCTCTCCCTCTCTCTCCCCGTGGTCGTGTTGATTTTTCTCCGGGTCCTCCGTTTTTTACCCTCCACATTTAGAATCAACATCACGCGTTTAGAGTATTTGCTTGCTGCTATAAATTTCCACACGATGGTAAGCCACTTTGTTGGGCGATCATTTGTGATGGCCAGGTCGCTTCTGAAAAAGAGCGACATAGCAGCTCAGTGGGGCCTTACCTGGTAAAAAAAATTGGTTTGGTTTTTGCACCGTTTCTCTGATTCCAGCCCCACTTGCTCAAGTGCATGACTTTCCCACGTGCTCCCCTCTCACTCCCTCTTGGGCATGATGACATTCGTCAGTACTGCATCATCATCATCACAGAGAACTTCTCCAAATACTGTGGTTTAGGAGTCTAACTTAGTTAGCAGGGGGACGCTGCCACAGTGGAGTGATAGTCAGCCCACTGGACTTTTTCTCCAGGTCGTCCGGGTTTTTTTCGCTCCACGTTTATTATCAACATTATGCATTCAGAGTATTTGGCTGCTATGAATTTCCACATTATGATGATAAGCCACTTCGTTGTGCGAGCTTTTGTTATAGCCAGGTCGCTTCTGAAAAAGAGCTACGTAGCTCCGTGGACCTTGCCTGGTAAAATAAAAATAGCAATCCAGAGTTTCACCGGTTCCATTCTATCTCCCGGAGGGGCAGGTTGAGACCACCCAGCAGTTAGTTTAACGCCAGGTCCGTGTACGGTGGGGTAAGGTGTGGGTACTTACACCTTAAGGCGTCTGACCAACGTGGAAGAGTAGGCCAAATACCGAGTATAGGGGGGCCCTCGAAATCCCTCTAGTGAAGACCCTTCTGCCGGCAGTGGCGTGAGCGAGCGCTTTCAGGGCTGCAGCTGGTTTTCCAATATTATTTATCTTCCAGTTCATCAGATGTAAATCTACCCTCCTTTTTTCTTATATTGTTCATGCAATTTCAGTAAATCTGGTAAATTTTTCTAAGCGATTTTTTATATTAAAATTATCTGTTTTAGTTGAGCCTTGGTTTGCGAGAGCCTGGCTCAGGGATCAGCGCATTGACCACTCGGCTATCAGATCTGACCGCGTCCGTCCGGAGCCTCTGTTTGCCGAACGAATACATTATAAGGTGGCGCTCATTACACACGCAAAGTGCTTTCCATAAATCAACCGAAATACGTCGCTGATCTCTTCAAGGAGCATAAACCACCATCACGCAAACTCCGGTCATCCTCATAGCAGAGGTGGTTTTTCGCTCAGCCATTGAACAAATGTAGAGGCGTTAACTACGCACTGTTGCGTAACCTGCATTGCCACCAGGGCAGTGCAGCATTACCCCTGGGTACAACGGTTGGGGTCAGTCGAGGTGAAACGGATCGTAGCCAGGGTTTGGTACGAACCAATCAGACGGTTCCATGTGGGAATGTATGATTGGTTCTGCCTGGCCACGAAGGAGTATAAGACGGGTGACCCAACGGACCTCGGGGAGTTCTCTCCCTACACGAAGACAGAAGACTGGGCTGGAGCCTAGCTAGGACCCTGGACCAGCCTTCCAGCCCTTCTAAGGGCTAAGGCTCGGCATACCCAGTGGTCAGGACCCACCGGGCCAGCGGTGGGTCAGATAGCCTCCCCTGGGTCCTAGCCGGAGGACTAGGATAGCGGTAGACATGTGAGTCCCGCCAAGTCCGGAGGCTGTACCTCCTTAGGTATCAAGGAGGTTAGTGGTAGACGTGTGAGTCCCGCCAAGTACGGAGGCTGTACCTCCTTAGGTATCAAGGAGGTTAGCGGTAGATGTGTGAGTCCCGCCAAGTCTGGGGGCTGTACCTCACTCGGGTATCGGGTGAGGGGACCGTATATCCCTCTGTGTGTGTTAAGCATTGTATAAGGAAATAATACAATAAACAGAGTGTGCCTCCTAAGAAGTCTGCTCGTCCTTACAACACTACACAAAGATGGCGGTCACCGCATCGCGCGGCGCTATCGGATGTGCTTCTGCGTCCGTCTGGAATGCTCTTCCTTCCGATTTTAGGAAGCCGCTGGGAGCTATGCAGTTTAAATCATTGACAAACTCGGTTCTTTATAACTGCTTTTTGTGTTTAGTTTGTTATCTTCCCCTGCACCTCCGATTAGCACGGTGGGAAAGAAGTTTAACAAACCTACACACAAGTACTAGGCTGCCCAGCATACAAAGCTTGGAGAGAGACACCAGTCTAACAAAAGCACTCTATGCTGAGTTGTTATCTGTTAACCTAATGAGACATATGACAGAACGAATCTTGTTTTTCCAAAGTTTGCTGCATATGTTTTTTTTCCTGATGTCGAATTTACATTGTGGCGCTTTTTTAAAGAATGATCTTAAATAAAGTAATTGGGATATTCTTTGGCAGTTAAGCATTTACACTATTCACTCGAAGCATTTTTTCATTACGTGTCTCCTGCAGAGATATCAGGCTGATTGTTTTCGTGAAGTACTTTATGTACAGTAAAAAAATATTTTACAGCCTCCTCAATCCACTGCTGGATGAGGGCCTCCCCACGCCACGAGGGTCGTGGGGTCCTTTTGGCTATACTTTACAATGTTGTATCAGTGCGGGTTGGAGAAGCTGGGCACCATAGACATTGGAACGTAGTACAGTACAACAATGCCCTCTGCGAGCAACGTAGCCCCACAGCAGCCTGCGACAGCAGCTGCTCTACAATGTGGCAGCTTAATAAAGGCCCCGTTTGTACCTTCCAAGGAATAAAATCACTGTATTCCGATAACTTTCAAAACGGATGGCCATTACAATCGTTCTCTCTCTCTTTAAATTGCTTCGTAAAAAAATCAAATACGAGGCAGTTAAAGCGCCCCATGACCTCATATTTAATTCACCAGCGCCCAGCCCTTGCTGTCCCATTGCGCGATGGCTGGCACGCAGTCCAGAAGTCCGACGGTACGATGCGGCGCCGTGATAACGCTCACAACGGGACCTGCCAAAAAAACCCAGAAGTCGCCGGTTCGATCTCCCAACCGCCACGGTCAGTCGATTGGTTTGTTGCGTGCTGTGGGGTAAAGTGTGGCTACTTCCGGCAGTGGCATAAGCAAGCCGTTCCAGTGCCTATGCGTTAAAATTTTTGTTTATTTCTTTTAGTTTTAATCCCTCGATAATATATTCAAGACGTAAAAAAAAAATCTCGGCAAAATGCACGACGCGAACGAGCGCGACGGAATATGAATGCATAGTTGGGCGGAGGAGCGGCGAGAGGCTCCGCTAATGACCTCTGATTCATCTCGTTCCGCGCACGCCCACAATCGACTGGACATTTTCGGGGAGGGCGGGCGAAAGGTTACGCCTGCACAATTCACCTGAAATTCAACCCCAGCGCAGTAGGCCCTTTCTTACAAGGGGAATCAAGATATTTGAAAAAGAACGCGGTTTGAGCATGTGAACGTATATATATCCATGAGGTTTTTTTTGGGTTAGATCGCTTAAATATAAATATGTCGTTAAACCCGCCACTACCCAACAGAGCCAATTAGTAAGGTTTTTCACGCAAACAAAACGTGTCAATTCGTTACTCTTTCAGCCACACACCGGTTGCGTGTTGGCGAGCAAACCCACAACCGGGAGTGGGGGGGGGGGACCCCCCCCCGGGCTCGGTGCCGCGAACCCCTCTGCAACTACACACGCGATCTCCCCTCTGACAAGGGGAGGGGGGGGGGGTTGCCTTTCGCGGGCAGGTCATCGAGAAACAAACATCGAGGGGGACACGGTGGAGGGGGGTGAGGGGACGAGGCCTCGAGGTTTAGCCGATTCAACAGCAAACGGGTCGGAGAGAGACCACCACCACCACCAACAACAACAACAAACGGAGATGGGATAAAGGTGGGGGGGGTGGCGGAAATCCGCGGGAAAATAAAAATATTTGGCTGTCCAGAAAACGAATGGGGTGGGGGGGGCGGCTTTGAAAGGATGCCGAGTGCCAGAACCTATCAGTGGCTCTGGCGGCATTGAGCGTGACAAACTCCTGGCTCGCCAACAGTGTTCAAGAACCAGGGGGTCGATGTTTTTTCGCAAGCCGTATCGGTGGATCGTGCACCATCAGGGGGAGGGGGGGGGGGGGCAATTGCCCGCCGGTAATTGGGTTCCATAACTTCGAAAGGTGATGGGAAAAAAATAAAAGTAAAAGGGACGTCAGTTGGGAGGTTTAAAGGAATGAGATGCGGGGTTCCTCTTTAATTCTCCCCTTTAATATCTGTTTATTTGTATATATATGTTTTATGTTTGACCCCGGGCTTGAGTCCGTTTGCACTGTCTTACGCCTGTCATGTGACGAGATGGGAAAAGGTAACCGTCCAAACTACGAACAGGGCAGAGGATGTCCCACACCATAGAGCAACCCGCTGTAAGAGATCCCATTGAACTGAGACCCTCTGAAGTGATTTTTTTTTGTTACGCGCTTCTGGTAAAATATATTCAGTATATGAACAGAACTCCAGTCCGTGTTTCGCATATCAATAAAATACATGTTTAATCCATCAGCCTATCGAATTAGTTTAAGCAAGCAAATTCGGGACCGGTTTCAACATTTTGAGTTTCGTCAGGAATCAAATGCTGTTGGTTTGCCGGTTTGTCTTGTTTTATGCACAGGCAAGGAATCAACGTTTCCACGTTCCCTGCTGCAGATAAAAAAAATATTCACCAACGTTTTCACTCTCAGATCTAGAATGAAGCCAAGAGAAAAGCCAAATAAAATAAATTCGTTTTTTTTTTATTTACACGGCAACTTGTGACGGGGCTTACATCGCTAAAGCACTGCTGCGCCTGATAACCTGGTTTTAATCATGCGCGCCTGAAACCCGGATTCAAACCCAGGGTCTCAGCAGTGCCAAAATAACTCGCAAACTAAACACCTTGTTGCGAAAGACCCAAATGCAGAATAAGATCCGTGGATTTGATATCTTACGAAGCTCACGGGACACCCTAAACCGCATCCACTGTACAAACCATGGCAGCAGATGCGGATACCTGATGCACAAATGGAAAATGTTAAACTCTCCAGTGTGCGACTGTGGTCATCCAGAATAAGACCATACAATGTATAACGGTGCAATGCCCCGATCCGATAACTTTAGAAACGGATGGCTATTACAATCATTCTCTCTTTTTAAATTGCTTTGTAATTTTTTTAAAGAAAATACGAGGAAAAAAAACCCTGTTGGAAGCTAAAGCGCCCCTTGACCTTATGTTTAATTCACCAGCGCCCAGCTCTACACACCAGTTATCTGGCTTGACTACCTGAATGTGAAATTGTAGTTGTTGAAGAATAAGAAGGGAGGAGATGAAGGAGGGGAAGGGGATGGAGGAGGGAGGAGGCGCTAACGCGGGGTATATTTTCCGAGTTGAATTACAACATTGTGTGCGAGTGTGAACCCCATCGCTTGTCCCGGTGTTCTCATTGTCCATTGATTCTGCAGCCGGTAAATGGCGAGATGTTAACTACCTCACCTGGTACGCAGAAGGTAGTGGGTTCGATCCCGACCCTGACGCCTGCTGTACATTTTGAGTTTGCGTGTCTCTCTCTCTACGTGGTGAGATGTTAACTCCCTCGCCTGGTGTGCAGGAGGACGTGGGTTCGATGCCGACCCAGGCGCTTGCTGTACATTTGAAGTTTGCGTGTCTCTCTCCCCGTGTTCGCTTGAAATTTTCTCCGGGTCCTCCGATTTTTCCCTCCACATTTAGAATCAATATGCATTTAGAGTATTTGGCTTCTGTACTTTTCCAAATGATAAGCCATCTCGTTGCAGCGATCATTTCTGATAGCCAGGTCGCTTCTGAGAAAGAAAAACAGCTACTATATCGTCTTACCTGCTAAAATGAAAGTTATAGTTTTGTTTTAAATAGTTGAGAATATACGGGGAGGAGGTGAAGGTGTGATGTGTGCAGCATAGCCGCGTATGTGGCGACAAGCCGGGGAGCCAGCGCAGGTGCGCGGTTTTCAGGGCGATGACAGCAAAGCCAACAGGGCCTGAGGCTTTGTTGAGTGGAGAGGACAAACTGTGTGTGTCATGCGTGGGTGTTGAATATCTTTCGCACCGTACCGAGTCAACCGTGTCTAATCGTTGGTGCGGGGGAAGGAAAAAAACTCAACACTGAAGTCAGTTAAGTTTGTTGTCATCATCACTGGCCATGATCGATCCAATGCTGGATCAAGGCCTCCCCCAAAATCGTCGCCATCTCTCACGATCCTGCGATGTAATGACGTACCGAGCCAGCGCCTGCTAATTCCCTAGCTTCATCGTTGTAACTGCTGGGCGCCTGTGAAAAAAAGAGCGTCATAGCTCATCGGATTTTTCTAGTCTAAATTGAGATTATGATACATATTCTTTACTCACACTCCCTCTCTTGGCTGCCTTCGTCCGGCACTGGATTGGGTGGGGAGGGGCTGTTCTTTTTTTATTTAAGTAGGTTTAGCATTTGATGGTAGCGTTAGCGTTGGGATCAAGCTAGCCTAGAGTTTAAGGGATTTGACTAACGCTGGGGTTTGTGCAATGGACATGGGTGAAACATGTTGAGTTAACTGTACCAGTGGAACCCCTCTTAACGACGGTGATTGGTTCCACAAAACCGGTCGTTAAGTGATTGTGTTGTTAAGCAAATATAGAAAATGCGAGTTAAAGGCTTAATTCGTTTCAATCGCATCGAAAGTTACCCTTTTTCACCCTAAAAAACCTACTTTGTAATATGAACCTTATGGTGGGACCTCGGGGTCCCATAAGCCCCCGACTCTCGCATAAACTGCGTTGCGACGTCATTTTATGTCTGAAGGCGAACGATACGGCAATCTCTTCCTCTCGACGAGCTTTACTCCGTTTCAAATTTTTGTTTATGACTACGGCAATTTTGGCAACGATGGGTGCTTGGTGAAGAACGAGAGGATTGATTTCTGGACCGTGCCAATGGCGACTTTCCTGGGGCATCCAGGTTTCGCCTTGGCTGCTGGACCGGTCTTAGCAGCCAGCTCCACCATCGCGTCAATGGCAGCACGCTTTCATTTCGTCGCGTGAGTGGGGCCTCATTTAGGCATCGGATCGTCGTCGATCTGCGAGCTGATCTCGCTCGGGACAGCTTCATAGTATGGCAGGTGTTCGGGTGGAATCGAGAAGTACTTCTTCGATAGCAAGGCCAGCTTCTTGGTTGATAGGCTGCTGACAGGAGCCATCAGCATTTGGATCGATTTGAACGTCCCCTCCTCGATCGTGTTGACGTTGGCGCCAAAAAATCCTGTGGAATGGATCGCCGAACAAGATCGACGTTCTCTGGCACGATCCTGCTAGGTGACCTTGAGTCGACCTCAGGTGTCTCATGCTGAGCACTCCTTCATCGACCTCAAAGAAGTAGTTGTGCGTGTATCGGGGCGGCATCGACTTGAAGTGCTTCTTCAAAAGACTGTCCCAGCCCGTGTAAAAAGGGCGTTGGGCATCCTGATGATCGATGAATGTCGCCTCGACGCTGTTGATAAGGTTGACAGTATCGACGAAATCCCACGGCGTATAGAAGTTCTTGCCCTTCTTCGAATTGCGACACCATGAAACAACTCGATCGGCTTGGTTGTGCGAGTGCCCCGGCATGAGGTACAACAGAACGACCTTGCGGTAGAACACGAGCGACAGCAGCGCAAAGAACAAGAACGCGACTTGAGACTCGTTCTGTCCAACGCAGTTGTCCAGAATCACCACAAGGGTCTTGGGCATCGCGTCCTGGGTTCTTGGCGAGCAGCCGCATGTGGTACACGAAGCGGAGACTGCACAATGCGTCCGCATCCTTTCCTTGGGCGCGCTCGTCGTATAAGATCACATTGTTGACACTGCTCGTGATGCCCGCCACCACGAAATTCCGCACCATCGGGTTTGGATTAAAGTAATCGGCGGACAGCTGCATGTGACCATAGTGTGGCATGGCGAAGCTACCGCCAAAGTCCTCAATCTGAATCTGAATCGTCGGCAGGTGGCTCGACTCGTGGGCAGAATCGACAACGTCGGGTTCGGCGTCGTCATAGCGGTCCGGAATGACGGTGATGGGGACGTCCTGACAGGAGCGTGCTGCTTGACGTACTCTTTGACGAAAGTGGACACCGTCCGGAGCTGGCCGATAGCCGCATCGAGATGCAAATTCTTCTCCTCCAGTAGGCGCTCGCGTTCATCTGCTGGAAGATCCTCGCACGCGAGCTGGATGTCGAGGCGAATGCAGCAGTCGCAAACGTCTTCCGTGGTGCACATCAAGTGCAGACCAGGATAGAACAAGTATTGAATCCGCAAATACTACACGATTTGGCTCCCCTTGAGCGCATCCAACTTGGCCTTGTATCGGCGATAAAGCTCGGTTCAGATGATGTTGGGCTCAACAAAGTACTGTCGATGCCGACGATGAGAGCAGGGAAAGCCGTCCTCGACCTCCCACGTGTTGGCATTCTCCTTGATGGCGTCGAGATCATTATCACAATGGCATGATGTGGAACCTTTGGCGGGCGTCGCGTATGCAGCGTTTCGATGCCATTCTCGAGGATTTTCCACAATCGATGGATCCTGGAATCGCCGACCAGGATGATCGCATGAATCACCCTCTCCCACAGGCCCTGCTGAAGCATCTGCAAGACAATCCACTCTGACTGTTGCCATTCAGATCTGCTCCGGTCGGTCTTCATCGACTGCCAATCGTCCAGAATTTTGCTAACAGCATCATCACCGAGAATGTTGATGGCACAGGCCGTTGCAGTGTTCTTGTGATTGCAACGTTCACGAACTTAACAAAGCAGAAAGGTTTTCTGGGATCCACCACTCCCGCCCATCTGATGACTGCTTTCGCTGCTGAACAGAGTCAACAATTTTGAGGACAAATTGCTGTCATGCGAGACGATGTAGCAGATGATGGCGTCATCGCCGCCGATGATGTAGAGCATGACGCCGTAGCCGTCGATGGTGACACTGGGAACGGGAACGTGCCGCAGGAAAGGCTGACATACTCAATGATGCGCTCCTTCCATCGACTTGCGATGAAATTGCCGCCGAATGTTTTCTGGAAGTCCTCGAGAACAGCAAGCGATTCGCCAAAGGTGGATGCAGGCAGGGATTGCCAATGATCCTGGCCATACCCGAGCATGGAGTGCATTTGCTTGTTGAGCTCTTCTGCACATTCGTCCTCACTGCGCTTGGACGACATGACAACAGAATCATCCGCGCCAGGTGGGTCACGGCGTTTATGTGCGCGGTGGGACGGAGTCTCGAAAAAATAAATAAATTAATTACGATTTTGACTTTCGTTTATTCGGGACCCCGAGGTCCCGCCATAAGGTTCATATTTAAACAATGGAAATTAATACATAAAAATACTTACAACATTAGAAACACATTAAAAGAAGCGTGGTCAATCAATGCATTCATAAATATTTACTGTACCTACAACAGCCCCTCGTTAACGGGGGAATGGTCTGTAAGTGAACACATTGAGCTCTATGGAGGCACTACACGACTATACACTGCACTACTATACACTGCACTACCATACACTACACTACTATACACTACTATACTACACTATACACTACACATTGGGCTCTATGGAGGCCCATCATTAAGCGATTGGTCATTAAGAGGGCTTCTACTTTTTGTAAAAGGGCATTTAAATAAAATAAAAATATTTATCCTGGAGGAATACGGTGAGCTAAAGAGATATTTTTCACTGCAGCCTGGCAGAATCTTTCACTGCAGCCTGTAAATAAACTGGCTTTGAAGTCCCCCTTCTCTGTACATTACGTTCTTTGATTATTTACATCGCTTGACCGCAGCCTGTGGAAATTAAGTGAGTGTAACATTCTATCATCACTTCGTAATCCCACTGAATTCGACGACCGAGCGATGTATTCCGGGAAAATCCCCCAGGTCCTGGAATCGCTTAATGCGATGTGGTGCAGAGATACCCACAAAAATACTATACACACACACACGCGTCATCATTCATCAATATCATCATCATTAGCCCTGGTTAATCCACTGCAGGGTAAAGGCCTCGCATTCCTTAGCTGCCACAATTGCTATTACAGTTGATTATTGATTATCCGGCCGTCTCCAAAGGTTGTAACCAGTCCGGCGATTGGCACCATGTGCATGACAAAAAAAATATCTACGCTTCATTTCAGTGTTCAATATTATATACGGTACATTATACAACACATACAACTTAAAAAATGAAAATACTGCACGTATATATATACATCACCCCATGTGGAGTCTTTGATATTGGAGTGGTAAGTATGGTAGAGTAAATACGGTAACTTCTTAGAGGATATTTATTTTTGTCTGTGTGTGTATTCATGCCAATTTCACATTGTAAACTAATTTAAAGCGCTCAAAAAGCATAACACCTAGAAATGTAACGTGACGAAAGAATGTGCAACAATTATCTATTTTAAATCATGATTACCCGGCGTTTTTCAAAATCCGGCGCCCCCTCCCCCCACCGGCGGAGGGGGGGCACATGCCCCCCCCCTAGCCCAATGATCTGATCGAAATCCCTAATTTCGAACGGATCATTGGGGTTTATTAGTAATAAATCGGCATTTTGCGACCCCCACTGCCACTGTGTAGCATATTATTACGTGTCAGGGACTCTATGAGATGATATGACAATAGTCCGAGTTCATAATTGGCAATAAGTAACGGTAAAGCAGTTATAAGTGACTCAGAACTGTGCGCAGTTGCGTATACAGTACACAACTTCCCTGAAGGCATACCTACGATCACACACGGTTCGAATTCGACCCTCGATCGATGACTGCACCATCGCCCCACACGCGTCGAATAAAAAGGAAGGGACAAGTCCTTACTTACTGACAACTCCTCTATAATTTTTCATTGCTGGAGGGGTTGCCCCCCCTACCTGAAAATCCTGGCTCCGCCATTGCCTCCCCCCTGAAGCTGCCAAATAATCGATGATCGACCGAAATTCTTGATAACCGGCCATCATCTATTCTTAGTGGCATGTCATCCCCAAGTCCACTTAAAACTATAAAATACTGAACTATTTTTTTTATTTTACAAGGTAAGGCCCACTGAGCTGTATAGCTCTTTTTCGGAAGCAACCTGGCTATCACAAATGATAGCTCAACGACGTGGCTTATCATCATGTGGAAATGTATAGCAGCCAAAACCTCTAAGCGCATGTTTCTAAATGTCGAGTTGAAAAACCAGAGCATCCGGAGAAAAATACACGCGACCACGGGGAGAACATGCAAACTCCAAATATACAGGCATCGTCAGGGTCGGGATCAGGATCGAATCCACGACCCGTATACCGGGCGAGGTTGTTAACATCTCGCTAGCGCGGTGCCCGCTTGCTTGCAGTATACTTCACAGCATTATGCAGAAACAGAGGTCGGTGTTTTACATGAAAAGCATTTGTTGTGCAAAAAACACCTTAAAGTTGTCTGTGAAAAGAGTAATGTTCTGAGAAAATAAAATTACAAATGCATTGGTTGCACAATGTTTAATGATGAATGGAAATATGTAGAGCCATTATAATCATCAGTGATGGACAAAATTGTTATGACTACTGCACATGTGAAGAAGAATGGAAAATTGGATACAAGTGTAGTTGGTCCAACTGAGTCGCAGACGTTTTTTTCTTTTAGAGGCAATACTTTTATTTGTAATACCGTAACACAAGGGGGTAACTGCCCCTTTACCAGACTACAGCGAGTTACTGCTACGAAGGGTCGATCCCTCACTCGGGTATCCAACCACGTGGTTGCCTCGTAGGACGGAGAGCTTCAGCTTGAGACGTAGAGCTTCCCACTTGTAGATGTTGAGCTTCCAGCTTGTAGAATGCAGTGACCCCGGTCCCTCTCGGAGACCTGCCTTATATCCCTCTCCGGTCAGGGCTGCTCCGTCCTTGGCCACGCCCGCCTTCTTGAACATTCTCGTTACCTCTCGAACCTTCTCAAGAGCACTCTTCGGACACGTGATCACCCACTAGTTCCCCACCTGGGGCCCCCTGTGTGGAGATTCCGGATCACGTGTCTCCGCTGTCAACCAAAGTGCCACGGCCCGGGGCAACCCTGCCCCTGGGCTGACACTAAACCCCTCCACCTCGAGGGAGCCCCCACCACACACTATGCCTGGTGCCCGCACTATCCCAGTGCTCGCCAAGCCCCGCTATGGCGGGTATTACACACAGCCACCAACACGATACTGTCCACGATATAGGAACATCGAACGGCACGACCCTTCCGGGCCGGCACCATACAGTGAAATCCCCTATGTCACTACACAAGCAATTTAAGAGAGCAATGTGGAACAATATATACAGAAAATCTGCAGTCTATAATCTAAAATACAATTTTTCGGGCCAATTGCAGGTTGAGTGGTGGCACGGTGGTTGGAACACTACACAATGCACCTTGTGACCTGAGTTTGACTCCCAGCCACGGCTAACTTCAGTGGCGGCTGATACCTGAACTAGTTCTGGGCTCTCCACTGACACGTACGTGGTGAAGTATGTACACTTTTGTCAAAAACCAATATCACTTTTGTCAAAGACCAATATCTCCAGTAATAGCCTTTGACAGAACTGTTGGTTCAGGTGGCCTTAGCGAGCACCTATGAAGGTTGGCACTGCACCACGAGGGGGCTGGGTGGCCAACACCATGGATGTCTGGACGCCTCAGTCTACCCAGTGGTGATGGTAACACACTGAATCAGATCAGAAAAGGAATATTTATTTATACTGAAGGAATCCGATAGCATATAAAGCTCTTTTTCACAGATGTCCATTATTTTTACAGATGAATCGACGGAGGGGAGGACCAGGATCAGTTCACACATTCACCACTGCTATTGACTGTCAGCGGAAATCGAACTGGGGTCATCAGGTTCGTAGCGCAGTGTGCTAACCACTGCGCCACCGATCCCCACTTCCCACTACATGACCAGTGGACGAGGGGAGGTCTTCATCCAACAGTGGATTGACAACATGGCTGAAACATTTTTTATTATTATTAGATGGTGGACGCTGCCTCCGTCTAATAGTTATCAATCCAGAGGTGGTTAGCTCAATCTTCCGGTGCAGCAATTGAAACCATTGACCAGATGTTTTTTGATGTTTAAATCCACGGCACTGCTGTCTATCCGCACCTCCGATTCCCCGCACCTCCGATTAGCACGGTTGGCTACGAACTGTGCGAAAGAAGTTGAACATGCATACATACGTACACACTCACCCACCCACTCACTCCCGCACCTTCGATTAGCACGGTTGGCTACGTACGGTGCGAAAAAAGTTCAACATACATAAGTACACACCCACCCTCTCGCACACTCACCCATTCCCGCATCTCCGATTAGTGCGGTTGGCTACGTACGGTGTGAAAGAAGTTCAACATACGTACAAACTCACGCATTAACCCACCCACTCACTCTCGCACCTCCAATTAGCAAGGGTGGCTACGTACGGTGCGAAATAAATTTAACATACATACATACATCCAGCAGTATAAATGGGTGACCACAGTTAAATGATCGGCATGATACGTACGGTGGGGTAAAGTGTGGGTGCGACAACCTCTTCCGGGGGGGGGTCTGCAATGCACGGGAGAGTAATCCAGAGCAGCGCGAGCAAGCAGTGGAGTGAGCAAAGTCAATTGAGGGCCGCACCGTTTTACCGTATGACACTGCAGAGCAGTGGCACGTTTGGCGCAGCGTCCAGAGACCGCTGCCACTTCCACCACCGCTCACGGCTTCTCATCGCACAGCGCGGGGCCATCTGGCTCTAAGGAACACCGCATTAAGGATGTGGGGGGTGGATGAGTGGAGAGGGATAATGTGGCCATTTAGACATCGCGCGGGTAATTCTTCAAATGTGCACCGTGCCACTGACACGCGACCGCGTACCCCGTGGCACGCGAAGAGCACCGAGAGGTCGCGTGAGGGCAGCGGCGGGGGGGGTCAGCACGGAGCGCTCGCTCCTTGCGACGGCCCCGCAGAGGTCGCCGTCACCACCGGGCCGTGGTCAATCCGCTGCTGATTGAAGGCCTCCCCAAGCCACCACCGACCACCACCACCACCACCATCTCTCCCGTGAACCCTGGCGATGGGACGGTCTGCCCCGGCGGCTCAATTTCACCGCTCCGTCTCCGCGGTGTGCGTACGCGCGGAATGCATTCGATT